AGTGAGTGAAAGACTTGATAGGTTTTTGGGGAATGATTTATTGTGTGAAATGTTTCCTCATGCTGTGGTTTTAAATGGGATGGCAGCTTGTTCAGATCATAATCTAGTGGTGTTTGAAACTGTGGGTGTTAAGGAAAAGTTTTGAAAGCGTAAGCATTTCCAATTTGAGTCCATGTGGCTAGGAGATGAGAGATGTGAACGAATTATTTCCCCGGTATGGGATCACAGAGGCAGAGGGATGGATATGGAAGGGGTTAGTGCTCTTATCCAGGGGTGTGGAGAGAAATTGACAATTTAGAACAAGGCTTCCTTCGGGCAGGTTAATCAAAAGTTGCAAGAGGCTAGAAGACAGTTGTTGAGAATGCAAAATCTGGATGCTATTCAACCAATTACTGCTGGAATCCGTGAGGCTCAGAAGAATGTGCAACTATGGCTTGAACGGGAAGAGGTCATGTGGAAACAGAGATCACGAATTCAGTGGTTAAAAGAAGGGGACCAGAACACAAAATATTTTCATTCTAGAGCTTTTTATAGGCAGAGAAAGAACCTTATAAAGTACTTAAAGGATGACATTAGAGTATGGCAAGAAGGGAACCAAAGGGATGTTCTGATTGTTCAATTCTTTAAGAACTTGTTTACTACAGCGAGACAAGGGGACTATGAACATGTTTTGAGGTTAGTGGAGAGGAAAGTGACTGCTGAAATGAATGAGGAATTGAATAAGCCATTTGAAGCAACTGAAGTTAAAGAAGCATTGGATCAAATGGCGCCTACTAAAACCCCCGACCCTGATGGTATGTCTGCAATGTTCTTCCAACGCTACTGGCATATAGTTGGGAATTCTGTTACAATTGTTGTGTTGAATTCTCTTAATTCAGGTAAACTGTATCCTCCCCTAAATCATACTTTCATAAGTTTGATTCCTAAGAAGAAAAATTGTAAGGTTGTGTCTGATTATCGCCCCATCAATTTATGTAATATGCTTTACAAGCTTATATCTAAAGTGCTTGTTAATAGAATGAAGAGGTTTATACCCGCTATCATTTCTGAATCTCAATGTACTTTTGTGGGAGGGAGGTTGATTTGTGATAATATACTCATTGTTTATGAACTGGTTAATTATTTGAGAAACAAGAGAAGTGGTAAAAAGGGGTATATGTCACTTAAGTTAGATATGAGTAAAGCATATGATCGGGTGGAGTTGGGTTTTTTGGAGATGATTATGCTTAAGTTGGGGTTTGCGGCTTTGTGAGCATTGTTATGGAGTGCATTAAAATTGTCAGTTTTTCAGTTTTAATTAACGGAGATGCCCCTGGTCTCATTTTACTCATAAGGGGTATTAGGTAAGGGGATCCACTTTCCCCATGTATATTTCTCCTTTGTACGGAAGGGTTAACTGTACTCCTAAAAAATGCTAAAGCTTGAGGAGACTTAGTGGGAGTTAAAGTCTGTAGAGAGGCCCCAATGGTAATGCACCTCCTTTTTGAAGATGCTAGTATTCTTTTTTGTAAAGCTGATACTAAGACAAGCAGGTGTGTGCAAAGTTTATTACAAGTGTATGAATCAGCTTTAGGTCAAATGGTGAATAAAGGGAAGACGTCAATGGTGTTTTCAAAGAATGTAGAAGCAGGGCAGCAGAGGGATTTATTGAGGTTATGGGGAGTTACAAATTTCCAACAGTAAGATAAATATTTGGGACTTCCACATTTTGTTGGAAAAAAAAATCTCAAGCTTTTGATGAGATTAAGAAGAGGGTTTAGAGTTATTTACAAATTTGGAAAGAGAAGCTTTTATCCCAAGGAGGGCGAGAGATTCTTATTAAAGCAGTGGCATTATCTATACCTACCTATGCCATGAGTTGTTTCAAATTGACTTTGAGTTTGTGTCATCAGCTTGAAGTTATGTTGGCTAGATTTTGGTGGGGCCAGCATAATAATGAGAGAAAAATTCACTGGATAAGCTGGAAGAAGCTATGTGTATCTAAGTTTTAGGGCGGAATGGGCTTTCAAGATCTACATATGTTTAATATGTCACTGTTAGCTAAGCAAGGGTGGAGGTTATTACAGAATGAAACATCATTACTAAGCCGAATCTTTAAGTCCAAATATTATCCTAAGTGTTCCTTTTTCCAAGCAAGATTAGGTGTGGATTTGTCCTATGATTGGAAAGGAATATTTGAAGCAAAGAAATGGCTGCTGGAGGGATATAGATGGTAAGTGGGTAATGGTATATTGGTACAGATTTGGAAGGATTGGTGGCTGCCTAATGTCAGGTCTCTTCAACCAGGTTTGCATGGAAGATAAGGAGTTAGCTTTGATGAAGATGCCACTATAAATAGCTTGATTGATGTTGAGAAAAAATCATGGGATAGAGACGTGTTGAGGGTTCTCTTCAATCCAAATATAGTTAAGGAGATTCTCAAAATCAGACTGCATTTTAACTGAGTTAAGGATAAGCTGATATGGGGTAAGGAGTCAAGTGGAAACTTTACAGTGAAATCAACTTATAAATTAATTTTAAATGGTGTTGTTGACAGAATTGGTGAATCCTCCTTTCAAACACAAGATACACCCATATGGAAGAGGATCTAGAAAATGAAGATGCCTAGAAAGATCAAGTCTTTTGCTTGGAAGAACATTGATATTCAATCAGGGTGTTGTTTTTGTCAAAGTGCGGATGTGGATGTGGATCATGTCTTCCTAAAATGTCCAGATATCAAGGATATGTGGCAGCAATACCTCCATTTGATTAAAACTTTTCCCATCTCTTTTATTGATACTGTGAGGAAAGTAGTGCGACTTGGCAATGATAATGAGGTGGCTTTGTTTTTCATGTTATGCTGGTGTTTGTGGTACAGGCGGAATAAAATACAAATGGAGAGCACTTTAGTTCATGTTATGGTTGAGCTAAAACTCAACCTTAAATAAGCTAAATGTAACCACAACACAGCTCAAACTAATGAATTCCAACAATTAACAATTGAAATGAAGAACAATTTTATTCAATCGTAACTGAAATTGCC